ACGTTACAAGGGTTTCACCATTGCCTAAAGTGTTAAAATCCTCGATCGACTTCTGAATAACCAAAAGGCCAGGCATGATGTTTAGAAGATGACTTGATGATACGAAGGTATTTCAAGTTTTTCATATTGACGACCTTAATCGACCTTCAAGGTCATTACGGTCAACGTTTAATTGTTTTCTCTCAATAACCAAAATGCCCAAGGTCCCGATATTTGGGAAGTTTTGAATGAGGCCTTTCAAATGTATTACCTTGCCCCACTTGAAATGTATCAAAGTCTGACAATGTGTGAATATCACTCGGAACCTGCTGGAAGGAAGAGTAATATTTCTTTAAACAAAAGAACAACTACAGGCGCAGACACGAAAACTGTTCATGACCTACAGAGAGGGTGGGCGATACTGGTCCTTGGCATTCTTGCTTTCATTTTAGGTGGTGGTACGCTGGTTCAAAATTCAGTCTGATCATACATTTTCCCTGAGTGTTCAACAAGATGATTATAACCGAAGTTCAGATAGCGTGTAGATTACTGTCATGTATATGGATACATGTGTTGTAAAACGGGAGCTGGTTGTTCTCTTTTGGTTCCGAGGTATATCCGAAGTGAGGATTTGGTGATATCGTCTTTGGGGTATGAATGTAGCTTGCGAAAAACAACCAAAAGAAGCCAACAGGTTGACAAATTCCCAGGTCAAAGGCAGACCATTGGCGTAATCCACGTATATATATATATATATATATATATATATATCTGACCTGGTTTACATCGACAGTCCTAACACTCAGTACATACATGACTCAGTAAAACTCGGAACGTCGATCAAAGATTTCATAGGTCTAACAGTCGGAACGTCGACCAAACATTTCACAGGTCTAACGGTCGGAACGTCTATCAAACATTTCACAGGTCTAACAGTCGGAACGTCTATCAAACATTTCACAGGTCTAACAGTCGGAACGTCGATCAAACATTTCACAGGTCTAACAGTCGGAACGTCGACCAAACATTTCACAGGTCTAACAGTCGGAACGTCTATCAAACATTTCACAGGTCTAACAGTCAGAACGTCGACCAAACATTTCACAGGTCTAACAGTCGGAACGTCTATCAAACATTTCACAGGTCTAACAGTCGGAACGTCTATCAAACATTTCACAGGTCTAACAGTCGGAACGTCTATCAAACATTTCACAGGTCTAACAGTCGGAACGTCTATCAAACATTTCACAGGTCTAACAGTCGGAACGTCTATCAAACATTTCACAGGTCTAACAGTCGGAACGTCTATCAAACATTTCACAGGTCTAACAGTCGGAACGTCGACCAAACATTTCACAGGTCTAACAGTCGGAACGTCGACCAAACATTTCACAGGTCTAACAGTCGGAACGTCGACCAAACATTTCACAGGTCTAACAGTCGGAACGTCTATCAAACATTTCACAGGTCTAACAGTCAGAACGTCGACCAAACATTTCACAGGTCTAACAGTCGGAACGTCTATCAAACATTTCACAGGTCTAACAGTCGGAACGTCTATCAAACATTTCACAGGGCTAACAGTCGGAACGTCGACCAAACATTTCACAGGTCTAACAGTCGGAACGTCGATCAAACATTTCACAGGTCTAACAGTCGGAACGTCGACCAAACATTTCACAGGTCTAACAGTCAGAACGTCGATCAAACATTTCATAGGTCTAGCAGTCGGAACATCTATCAAACATTTCACAGGTCTAACAGTCGGAACGTCTATCAAACATTTCATAGGTCTAGCAGTCGGAACGTCCATAAAACATTTCACAGGTCTAACAGTCGGAACGTCTATCAAACATTTCACAGGTCTAACAGTCGGAACGTCTATCAAACATTTCACAGGTCTAACAGTCGGAACGTCGACCAAACATTTCACAGGTCTAACAGTCGGAACGTCTATCAAACATTTCACAGGTCTAACAGTCGGAACGTCCATAAAACATTTCACAGGTCTAACAGTCGGAACGTCGACCAAACATTTCACAGGTCTAACAGTCGGAACGTCTATCAAACATTTCACAGGTCTAACAGTCGGAACGTCGACCAAACATTTCACAGGTCTAACAGTCGGAACGTCTATCAAACATTTCACAGGTCTAACAGTCGGAACGTCTATCAAACATTTCACAGGTCTAACAGTCGGAACGTCGACCAAACATTTCACAGGTCTAACAGTTGGAACGTCTATCAAACATTTCATAGGTCTAACAGTCGGAACGTCGACCAAACATTTCACAGGTCTAACAGTCGGAACGTCGACCAAACATTTCACAGGTCTAACAGTCGGAACGTCTATCAAACATTTCATAGGTCTAGCAGTCGGAACGTCCATAAAACATTTCACAGGTCTAACAGTCAGAACGTCGATCAAACATTTCATAGGTCTAGCAGTCGGAACGTCCATAAAACATTTCATAGGGCTAACAGTCGGAACGTCCATAAAATATTTCAGATATTCGGAGGCCTAACACACAGAACGTGATCAAACGTGATCTATAACACAGAGACGTGGGATAAATACATGTATACCTAGGGCTGATAAACCTAGGTTCTTTATAAAAAAAACTGGAGACATATAGCTTTGTTGAATGTGGTGCATAAAAATAGCGTTTGGTACTATGGTTTATAGTTTAAACACTGTTCTTGATAAGTTAATAAACGAAGATCGAACAAGTTTTCTTTCTGGTCGCTAGATTGATTTATGATATTATGCATTTTGCTGGGGGAAATGATAGACCAGGTATGTTGCTGTTAACTTTTTGAGAAAGCGTTCGATTCAGTTTCTTAACTATTTATTGAAAAAGTTTTATTACTTTTTGGTTTTGGTAAAATATCATTAATTGGCTGTAAATTAGTGGGGGAAATCTATGTTCTTTCTTTAGTATAAAGAGGGGCTGCAGACAGGGGTATCCGATTGCTCAATATCTCTTCATTCTTTGTGCAGAAGTTCAAGCCGTAATAGAAATATCAAAGATATTGATATTGAATCTTGTTCTATTCTGCTATCACAGTATGCTGATGATACTTCACTAGTACCTGACGAATCTGAAAAATCCTGAAAAGCTGCTATAGAAGACCTAAATGGATTTTCCAATATATCTGGGTTAAAGATAAATACTGATAAAACTCGAGTTATATGGATTGGCTCCAAAAAATACAGTGGGGATTTTTTCTACCAGAGTTCAGTATGAGCCTACATGAAATACTAAAACTGAATTTTGTCAAAATATTAATCGAACTGAAATCATTTATAAAATCATGGAGCAGAAGGTCACTAATTCCTATAGGAAAAAAACATGATCAAGTGATTACTTGTTTCTCAGTTTAATCACCTATTGATTTCTCTACCCAATCCTGACAACACATATCTTAAGAGACTTGATTCCATACTTTATGATTACTTATGGAATGGTAGACCAGAAAAAGTCAAAAGGGAGATAATTATTCAAAATTATGCAAACGGGTGGTTGAAAATGGTTAATCTGACAGCCTTTATACACTCACTAAAACTTACTTGGATCCGAATACTTTTCCACAATAATGAAAAATTGAAATTTATATTAAAAAAATATATAAATTCAGATCTTCTAGCAAATTGTGGTAGTGAATACATTGATATGTGTAGTCAGAAATGTGAAAATAGTTTTTGGAGGGACGTCCTTAAATCCTGGTATGTTTTCAATACCAAGTACTATGACAAGTTTTTCATGAGCATATACTGAGAGTACCTATTCGGTACAACAGTAACATTAAGATAGGGGAAGAACTATTTTATAATGAATTTGATGAGAAAAACATTGTTGTAATAAATAATTTAATTAAAGATGACAACACTGGTTCGTTATATACATTTACTGAATTTATTCATAAAGTTAATGTCAATACAAACTTTTTAGAATATCAGGGCCTTATTTGGCTGCTAAAGAAATTCATTTCTTCTAATAATATACGTGAGCTAAACTTAGCGTAGCCCTACATCCCTATTAACTTCTAGCTTCTCCTTAGAGATAAAAAAAGGTTCTAAAAGGTTCTATGACACTTTGATCATATCTGACCTGACTTCATCAGGTACCAAAAAGTGGAATACAGTATTTGATGATATAGACTCTCTCTTTTTTTTCAATTGATATTTTCATACACAAACTTCTTGTTTTATCATCTCACCCAACCCTTTTTCTTTTTTTCTTTTCTTTCCCTTTCCTCTTTAGTCTTCTTTCTTTCCTGACGTTTCTTTCTCTTTTTCTAATCTTTGTTTCTTTAATTCTTACAAAAATGGAAAGGTACAATGTCCTTCATGACGCATTGTGTGTTTACTGAGAAATGGGTGTAGATACTTACATGTATGTTTGTTCACATGTATGTTTTACATGTGCTTCCATATATTTATGATGTATGTAAAGTTTGCACGCGTGTACATACAATGTATGTAGTATACATATGTTTGTGTACAAATAAGTATGTTAATACATGTGTCAGAATGTAAATGAGTGTGTGTATGTATTGTTTGTGTGTATACATACCTGTATATATGTAAGTGTATGTATATGTCTGTCAGCAAGCATGTACATATGTACTACAAATGGGTGAGAGGGTGTGTGTGTTTGTTTATGGTTGTGTACCTGGGTGTATATCTGTATAATGTGTCACAGTTTGCATATGTAGGTGTGTTCTCGTGCGTGTGTCTGTAAGCGCATGTTTATTATTATTCGTGTATCTACTGTACAGTGTACTGAATAAAAGGATAAGTTACAAAAAATAATAATAATTGATAATACTAAACAAAAAAGGGGCAAAACCAGAAATTTAACTCATAAAGACATTTCGGGCAAATCAGATCAGTGTTTCACATCCGGGTATAATAAACACTGTTATCACCCTACAACGGCGTTATCAGAAGTCCGTCACAGGTAGGGATATTGAGAAATACATAAGACTTACCTGTGTCAGCGAACATTTCATTACAGTTGAACTTGAGGAATACGTTTGGACTATTGTGGTGGTACTTTACAGTATTCAGGGAAAAATGGATGTTCTTAACACAATTGTTTCAATTCTGTTTATCTTGGTGTCGTGTCTAGGTTCAGGTAAGTCCGACTACTTTATCCAAAAACTGGTTTTCTTTTGGCCTGGCGGGAATCCTCGGCCTGTTTTATCAATTTTCGTAATAATCTGGTTCGTGTAAATTACGAACTTGTGTCGATATTATGTTTATTATATCAGGTATAGGTAACAGCACTAATTATTCTGGTAAAATTATATAAATCATGTTTAGAAACGATATTAATACCATGGAGATTTCTTGTGACTGATCAGTACAGTTACATACAATGGGACGTCGGGACTGACAGACCTGAACTCGGATTTCCAGACAGACAGTCTTGATGTCATAAGATGTCACTTTTGATACTATCAGACTTTATTTTGGCTAGAATATCACACTGTTGTTACAAACACTTGATTTAACACCCTGACTTGATAATACCTAGTTACCCAGGCTCCTGACGACCGGGTCAGATAATTGGCCATACTGAAATTCCACAATTGATATCAGTTAACAAAAAGCTTATTCATAGTTCATAACGCATTGTCTATACACACATACCACCCCACAATGTACAGTCTATACACACATACCACACCACAATGTATATTCTATACACACATACCACCTCAAGTCTTCATGAATTATACATGTTTGGTGTTCAAGTCTTCATGAATGATACCTGATTAGTGTTCAAGTCTTCATGAATGATACCTGATTAGTGTTCAAGTCTTCATGAATGATACCTGATTAGTGTTCAAGTCTTCATGAATGATACCTGATTAGTGTTCAAGTCTTCATGAATGATACCTGATTAGTGTTCAAGTCTTCATGAATGATACCTGATTAGTGTTCAAGTCTTCATGAATGATACCTGATTAGTGTTCAAGTCTTCATGAATGATACCTGATTAGTGTTCAAGTCTTCATGAATGATACCTGATTAGTGTTCAAGTCTTCATGAATGATACCTGATTAGTGTTCAAGTCTTCATGAATGATACCTGATAAGTGTTCAAGTCTTCATGAATTATACATGTTTGGTGTTCAAGTCTTCATGAATGATACCTGATTAGTGTTCAAGTCTTCATGAATGATACCTGATTAGTGTTCAAGTCTTCATGAATGATACCTGATTAGTGTTCAAGTCTTCCGGAATGATACCTGATTAGTGTTCAAGTCTTCCGGAATGATACCTGATTAGTGTTCAAGTCTTCATGAATTATACATGTTTGGTGTTCAAGTCTTCCGGAATGATACCTGATTAGTGTTCAAGTCTTCCGGAATGATACCTGATTAGTGTTCAAGTCTTCATGAATGATACCTGATTAGTGTTCAAGTCTTCATGAATGATACCTGATTAGTGTTCAAGTCTTCATGAATTATACATGTTTGGTGTTCAAGTCTTCATGAATGATACCTGATTAGTGTTCAAGTCTTCATGAATGATACCTGATTAGTGTTCAAGTCTTCTGGAATGATACCTGATTAGTGTTCAAGTCTTCATGAATGATACCTGATTAGTGTTCAAGTCTTCATGAATGATACCTGATTAGTGTTCAAGTCTTCATGAATTATACATGTTTGGTGTTCAAGTCTTCATGAATGATACCTGATTAGTGTTCAAGTCTTCATGAATGATACCTGATTAGTGTTCAAGTCTTCATGAATGATACCTGATTAGTGTTCAAGTCTTCATGAATGATACCTGATTAGTGTTCAAGTCTTCATGAATGATACCTGATTAGTGTTCAAGTCTTCATGAATGATACCTGATTAGTGTTCAAGTCTTCATGAATGATACCTGATTAGTGTTCAAGTCTTCATGAATGATACCTGATTAGTGTTCAAGTCTTCATGAATGATACCTGATTAGTGTTCAAGTCTTCATGAATGATACCTGATTAGTGTTCAAGTCTTCATGAATGATACCTGATTAGTGTTCAAGTCTTCATGAATTATACATGTTTGGTGTTCAAGTCTTCATGAATGATACCTGATTAGTGTTCAAGTCTTCCGGAATGATACCTGATTAGTGTTCAAGTCTTCATGAATGATACCTGATTAGTGTTCAAGTCTTCATGAATGATACCTGATTAGTGTTCAAGTCTTCATGAATGATACCTGATTAGTGTTCAAGTCTTCATGAATGATACCTGATTAGTGTTCAAGTCTTCATGAATGATACCTGATTAGTGTTCAAGTCTTCATGAATGATACCTGATTAGTGTTCAAGTCTTCATGAATGATACCTGATTAGTGTTCAAGTCTTCATGAATGATACCTGATTAGTGTTCAAGTCTTCATGAATGATACCTGATTAGTGTTCAAGTCTTCATGAATGATACCTGATTAGTGTTCAAGTCTTCATGAATGATACCTGATTAGTGTTCAAGTCTTCCGGAATGATACCTGATTAGTGTTCAAGTCTTCATGAATTATACATGTTTGGTGTTCAAGTCTTCATGAATGATACCTGATTAGTGTTCAAGTCTTCATGAATGATACCTGATTAGTGTTCAAGTCTTCATGAATGATACCTGATTAGTGTTCAAGTCTTCCGGAATGATACCTGATTAGTGTTCAAGTCTTCATGAATGATACCTGATTAGTGTTCAAGTCTTCCGGAATGATACCTGATTAGTGTTCAAGTCTTCATGAATTATACATGTTTGGTGTTCAAGTCTTCATGAATGATACCTGATTAGTGTTCAAGTCTTCATGAATTATACATGTTTGGTGTTCAAGTCTTCATGAATGATACCTGATTAGTGTTCAAGTCTTCATGAATGATACCTGATTAGTGTTCAAGTCTTCATGAATGATACCTGATTAGTGTTCAAGTCTTCATGAATTATACATGTTTGGTGTTCAAGTCTTCATGAATGATACCTGATTAGTGTTCAAGTCTTCATGAATGATACCTGATTAGTGTTCAAGTCTTCCGGAATGATACCTGATTAGTGTTCAAGTCTTCATGAATGATACCTGATTAGTGTTCAAGTCTTCCGGAATGATACCTGATTAGTGTTCAAGTCTTCATGAATTATACATGTTTGGTGTTCAAGTCTTCATGAATGATACCTGATTAGTGTTCAAGTCTTCATGAATTATACATGTTTGGTGTTCAAGTCTTCATGAATGATACCTGATTAGTGTTCAAGTCTTCATGAATGATACCTGATTAGTGTTCAAGTCTTCATGAATGATACCTGATTAGTGTTCAAGTCTTCATGAATGATACCTGATTAGTGTTCAAGTCTTCATGAATTATACATGTTTGGTGTTCAAGTCTTCATGAATGATACCTGATTAGTGTTCAAGTCTTCATGAATGATACCTGATTAGTGTTCAAGTCTTCCGGAATGATACCTGATTAGTGTTCAAGTCTTCATGAATTATACATGTTTGGTGTTCAAGTCTTCATGAATGATACCTGATTAGTGTTCAAGTCTTCATGAATTATACATGTTTGGTGTTCAAGTCTTCATGAATGATACCTGATTAGTGTTCAAGTCTTCCGGAATGATACCTGATTAGTGTTCAAGTCTTCATGAATGATACCTGATTAGTGTTCAAGTCTTCATGAATGATACCTGATTAGTGTTCAAGTCTTCATGAATGATACCTGATTAGTGTTCAAGTCTTCATGAATGATACCTGATTAGTGTTCAAGTCTTCATGAATGATACCTGATTAGTGTTCAAGTCTTCATGAATGATACCTGATTAGTGTTCAAGTCTTCATGAATTATACATGTTTGGTGTTCAAGTCTTCATGAATGATACCTGATTAGTGTTCAAGTCTTCATGAATTATACATGTTTGGTGTTCAAGTCTTCATGAATGATACCTGATTAGTGTTCAAGTCTTCATGAATGATACCTGATTAGTGTTCAAGTCTTCATGAATGATACCTGATTAGTGTTCAAGTCTTCATGAATTATACATGTTTGGTGTTCAAGTCTTCATGAATGATACCTGATTAGTGTTCAAGTCTTCATGAATGATACCTGATTAGTGTTCAAGTCTTCATGAATGATACCTGATTAGTGTTCAAGTCTTCATGAATGATACCTGATTAGTGTTCAAGTCTTCATGAATTATACATGTTTGGTGTTCAAGTCTTCATGAATGATACCTGATTAGTGTTCAAGTCTTCATGAATTATACATGTTTGGTGTTCAAGTCTTCATGAATGATACCTGATTAGTGTTCAAGTCTTCATGAATGATACCTGATTAGTGTTCAAGTCTTCCGGAATGATACCTGATTAGTGTTCAAGTCTTCATGAATTATACATGTTTGGTGTTCAAGTCTTCATGAATGATACCTGATTAGTGTTCAAGTCTTCATGAATGATACCTGATTAGTGTTCAAGTCTTCATGAATGATACCTGATTAGTGTTCAAGTCTTCATGAATGATACCTGATTAGTGTTCAAGTCTTCATGAATCTGTCTTTTAAAATCCGTGAATCCCTTTACCAGAACACTGCTGTAATATCCACGACTTTTTTACACTGTTCCAATTGTCAGTGTAACCTGGGTATTTTTCTAAATTTAGATACAAAATACTTTTGCTGTATATTATACAATAAAAGACAAAGAAAGTGAGAACGTTGTACTTAGTTCCGTTTCCGAGATAGTGTGTCCGTTCAAGATTCACAAAGATAAGTAATATATCAATGAGCCTACCTGATATCTCATTACTTGACACAGGTATAAAGGTGTGGTATATCGGGCCTTCTTGATAAGACAGCACGTGGCACAGGTGTGTTTAGTGATGTTTGCCTTCCACACATCTCAGACCTAGGTAGTCTCAGATAGTGAACCGAAATGGTTAAATTTTCTTTACCTTTAAGATTTAATCAAACCACAATGCTAAATCCTAACTTGTGTATATTGTATGTGTATGGAGACAAAATGGAACCTCATAATTCATTTCTGGAAAAAACTATAATAACGGAAATATCTAAGTCCGTAATGTAGAAGAAGTGTATATAAAATCAAATATCTTAGCTGGCGACCTAACATAAGGAAAACACAGTTATGTTAGTTTGTCATTAAGATATATACATATTTTGTTATACACCTTGTCATTAATAAGAATAACAGCAGACATCAACGTTGAGGTTATTATTTTTCGAAATTGATATAGTTCTGTATTTTTGTAACGAAGTGGTACCACGGTACTTTGAAATTCTAGTACGTTGCATAGCAAAGCTGTTGTCGATCTTGTCTTTCCCCTCCCTGGCGACTGCTACCAGTCGTTGAACTTCTGACGTCACAGTTGATAAGGTCCCATTCAGCGCGAGTCTTTCTCTCGGTATTCGGTCGGACGATTTCGATGCGGTTTTCCACCTCTTCAATTTTGGACCATAAGAAAAAAAATCCCATTTCTGTTTTCACTCAGGGTACACTTTAAACTTTTCATTACTTCCTTATTTAAACACCGTGATTTTTAAAAAAAATCCTGACTTTAATACTGATAAAATTGCCGCATTACTTCCTTAATTTACTACTGTATAAATGTTCATGACTTCCGTAATTCAATACATTTGTTATGCTGGAGTGAGCTTTAAAAATCAAGAAAATACCAACTAGGCATCATACTCATGATCCAAATTCTAATTATATAAACTAGGGGAAAATATGAACAAAAGAAAGATTTACACAGTAACTTCTGAAAAATTACAAGGAGAAAGACACCATGTGTTCCCGAAAAGTCTTCTGCTCCATTGACGACATCTTGGTCCAAGTAAGGAATGTCACGTTCTTAAATATGAGAACAAAGTATACAACAACGGAACCAACAAAACAACTAACGAGCATCAAGCAGGCCAAGCTTTAATGAAGATAGAAATACTATAAAGATTGTACACGAAGAAAACCTAGAAACAGGAAACAATGGAGGATTAGAACCACAAGGTCAATGGCCCAGTAAAGGAAACCTAGAAACAAGGTCAATGACCTAGTAAAGGAAACCTAGAAACAAGGTCAATGGCCCAGTAAAGGAAACCTAGAAACAAGGTCAATGGCCCAGTAAAGGAAACCTAGAAACAAGGTCAATGGCCCAGTAAAGGAAACCTAGAAACAAGGTCAATGGCCCAGTAAAGGAAACCTAGAAACAGAAGGTCAATGGCCCAGTAAAGGAAACCTAGAAACAAGGTCAATGGCCCAGTAAAGGAAACCTAGAAACAAGGTCAATGGCCCAGTAAAGGAAACCTAGAAACAAGGTCAATGGCCCAGTAAAGGAAACCTAGAAACAAGATCAATGACCCAGTAAAGGAAACCTAGAAACAAGGTCAATGGCCCAGTAAAGGAAACCTAGAAACAAGGTCAATGGCCCAGTAAAGGAAACCTAGAAAATACAAGGTTAATGGCCCAATAAAGGAAACCTAGAAACACAAGGTCAATGACCCAGTAAAGGAAACCTAGAAACAAGGTCAATGGCCCAGTAAAGGAAACCTAGAAAATACAAGGTTAATGGCCCAGTAAAGGAAACCTAGAAACAAGGTCAATGGCCCAGTAAAGGTCAATAGCCCCCAGTAAAGGAAACCTAGAAACACAAGATCAATGGCCCAGTAAAGGAAACCTAGAAACAGAAGGTCAATGGCCCAGTAAAGGAAACCTAGAAAATACAAGGTTAATGGCCCAGTAAAGGAAACCTAGAAACACAAGATCAATGGCCCAGTAAAGGAAACCTAGAAACAGAAGGTCAATGGCCCAGTAAAGAAACCATTCCAGGAACGTCTTACTAATTTAATATCAGAAGTAGAAAATACTTCAGCAAGATTTCTTCAGACTCATTTAAATCAATGTGATTTGGTGTATGTGGTGATATAGTTTTATCCCCATACGAAGAACAAAACAGGATATTTGGTCAATGATAACTATATTGTTTGAGAAGACTTGCTTGATCACTATACAAGCTGAACACGTGCTAAGTATTGTTCAAGAAGACACACAAGTGACAAACATCTTTTGATATAAATTTAGAGTCAAATAAGTAGTGCCAATTAGTGAATACAATTGCACTATGTAACTCATCCTTCTTGTACAAGTCAGTAATACTAGAGGCCTTAATAGGAAAAACAAGAATGCGAGAATAAGCTATATTAAGCTGAACTCTTTTCACTTAGTACAGAAAAAGATCTATAGAAATCAAATGTCTAATTTCGTTTGTGTTCTCGCAAAGACAAGAGTTCGACATTTATGATTGTCTTAATCACCCTCAGTTGACCACCTCAGTAGAACACAGATGATATGTTACAAGGATATTGTTTATATTGGATAATTTTGGGGGCAATCCCAGTTAAAATCAATTTTATTACTGTATAATGTTTTATTTTCTTTCAGTTGCTGAAGCAATACGGATTCGTACTACCTATTATAGATCTTATCGATATTACTACTACTATGACTACACTACATATACTCTGTAAGTATGTAAATATCTACATCAGATATTTACTCTGTAAGTATGTAAATATCTACATCAGATATTTACTCTGTAAGTATGTAAATATCTACATCAGATATACACTCTGTAAGTATGTAAATATCTACATCAGATATATACTCTGTAAGTATGTAAATATCTACATCAGATATATACTCTGTAAGTATGTAAATATCTACATCAGATATATACTCTGTAAGTATGTAAATATCTACATCAGATATATACTCTGTAAGTATGTAAATATCTACATCAGATATATACTCTGTAAGTATGTAAATATCTACATCAGATATACACTCTGTAAGTATGTAAATATCTACATCAGATATTACTACACTACATATACTCTGTAAGTATGTAAATATCTACATCAGATATTTGCTCTGTAAGTATGTAAATATCTACATCAGATATTTACTCTGTAAGTATGTAAATATCTACATCAGATATATACTCTGTAAGTATGTAAATATCTACATCAGATATACACTCTGTAAGTATGTAAATATCTACATTAGATATACACTCTGTAAGTATGTAAATATCTACATCAGATATATACTCTGTAAGTATGTAAATATCTACATCAGATATATACTCTGTAAGTATGTAAATATCTACATCAGATATATACTCTGTAAGTATGTAAATATCTACATCAGATATATACTCTGTAAGTATGTAAATATCTACATCAGATATATATCTACATCAGATATACTACATCAGATATATACTCTTTAAGTATGTAAATATCTACATCAGATATACACTCTGTAAGTATGTAAATATCTACATCAGATATATACTCTTTAAGTATGTAAATATCTACATCAGATATATACTCTTTAAGTATGTAAATATCTACATCAGATATATACTCTTTAAGTATGTAAATATCTACATCAGATATATACTCTTTAAGTATGTAAATATCTACATCAGATATATACTCTTTAAGTATGTAAATATCTACATCAGATATATACTCTTTAAGTATGTAAATATCTACATCAGATATATACTCTGTAAGTATGTAAATATCTACATCAGATATATACTCTGTAAGTATGTAAATATCTACATCAGATATATACTCTGTAAGTATGTAAATATCTACATCAGATATATACTCTGTAAGTATGTAAATATCTACATCAGATATACACTCTGTAAGTATGTAAATATCTACATCAGATATATACTCTGTAAGTATGTAAATATCTACATCAGATATTACTACACCGCATAGACTCTGGTTAGTTTTACTAAATAGAAAAATACCTACATGGTATTGATATCACGATATCCCACAGTGTTACACGAGTACAACCATAGACATATATATGTCTGTAGTAAAATGATACAAATAAAGTTTACTTTTGTCGGATGAACAACTTAAGTGTACGATTTGTGATTAGATCCGCAGGTGTGATAGCAGGTATAGTGATTGGATCTCTGATTGCTGTAGCCCTGTTAGTCGGCGGTATCATTCTGTGTTGTGTATGCTGTTGTGGACAGCGACGGAACAGATCACAGGCTGGGCAGGTCATTGGAACACAACCCGCATACCCCGCCGTTAGTAAGTAAAACCTCATTTACTGTACCCGAAAAAAACTCCACCTCAACTTACTGTATCCTTAATACAGTCCAACTTAGTCCGCCACCAGATGGTGAAAACATTAGTTATTGAACCCTTAATACAATGTCACACCGCCAGCTGGCAGTAAGTAAAACCTCATTTTTGGTACCCTTAATACAATGTCACACCGCCAGCTGGCAGTAAGTAAAACTTCATTTTTGGTACCCTTAATACAATGTCACACCGCCAGCTGGCAGTAAGTAAAACTTCATTTTTGGTACCCTTAATACAACCATGGTAAAGTATTTTCCTACTAATTCACCTTTTTCCGCCATTTTTTTTCTCATCGCCCTTATTCAATTAAAGAAAGACATGAATAACAAAAACTATGTCTGGTCACGGTGAAGTGAACCCCACCCCCTGCTCTATCAGTGAAGTGAACCCCACCCCCTGCTCTATCAGTGAAGTGAACCCCACCCCCTGCTCTATCAGTGAAGTGAACCCCACCCCCTGCTCTATCAGTGAAGTGAACCCCACCCCCTGCTCTATCAGTGAAGTGAACCCCACCCCCTGCTCTATCTTCGCAATACTCTGCAAACAACACAACAATGGCGACTTGTAGGATAAAGACTTTATTATGTAAATACAGACGAATGTGCATGCAGGTATATTTCCTCTCCAGGTTATTTTCCACCTCGTGTCATTTTACACAAATTCGCCTCAGGTTCATTCCGCCTCTGATGATTGTACAAAAGGATTATAGAACCGTGAACAAATGTTCGCATCATATGCAGTTAACTGGTTTTTACCACATCAGATTTCTCTACACAATACTGTGAAACGCTCATCGCTGCTTCCTGCGATAAATATCTTTCAAAGATTAATATATATATTTAACATAAATTCGAAAGTAGAAGAAGATATAATAAACTGAAAGTTGTTGTCAAATGTGATGTAACTAGATGTGCTGGTGTGATCTTAGTTACTGTCATTGTATTGTATATAAGAGTTTTTGAACACTATGTATATCAATAATAGTGACTACATGCTTTGACGATATATGTTAATGATCCACCATCAGGTACCATCCAGACCAATGCCACAGTTGCCTACTATCCCACTGCCCCCGAAAATGGCCCACAACAACCACAAGTTAATCAAGGGCATTACGCCCCTCCGCCATCGTATACCCAGGTGACTTCGGACGGCAACGTGAACTTTGGATTCGAGGGCAACAAGGAGACACCTCGCGTTCCGCCGAGTTAGATCTATTTGGTGAACGGTGGGAGTTATAAGACGACCGTTTATGCTTGATATGGTATAAAAATATATATGAACAATTAATATTTAATCGTGTTAAAGTAATAACAGGGTCTATAAAGGTTTATAATCTAACTTCTGATTGGAAATAAAGTTGAGAGTGTTACAAGAACTGCAGCTTTACGCAAAACTGGTGTCAGACAGATTCATGTTCACTACAGGTATCGCTGATATATAAGTTCTACTCAACTTCCAGAATTACAGACAGTCAGTATGTTTATTCATACAATCTCAATTCATTAAATACAATACATATGAAATACGTTTTATATTGGTATATATGCCATTGATGGTTTCTTTCTCTAAGATACTTGGTACATCTTTTGTGTCAAACAAAGCCATCGAACTCAACAGATCGTTGTTCTAAGGACCCTACCTTTCGATGACGTGCTTTATTATGAAGGCTGATTTGACATCCGAACTGATTTAGCTTTAGTATAGACATTGGAGCAGCAAAAATGGCACGATATTTTAGTACCAGAGCGAAAAAGTGCGATCCTATAAAATGAATACATGTCTTCATAACTTGAGCCGAGATGTTATATAATTGACTGTACTTTTGAATCTAGATTACACCTCGTCGAATAATCATCAAAATACAGGGACAAAATTCGTAGAATAATGTTAGAATCTATATTTCAGTTCTACTGTGATGCACGTTCTTAAAACCAAACAAGCAAGCTAGACAATATTGACCAGTAATTTTCCTTTATAGCGTCTTATTCAAACCATAGCTCTAATCACTCTTGGTCCCCATAGTGTTTGCATGGCGGACATTTCTCAAGTATACCCATGCTGATCCTCAGTATTTTTTATGTACTTTGTAGTAGCATTGCTCTTTACAATTGGATATCACCATATCCATTATCATCATCATCATCATCATCGTCGTCGTCGTCGTCACGTCATGGTAATGATGTTAGCATATATCTTTTACTTTTTTCTAGTTAAATACGGAATAAAAGAGTAAATATACAAAACGAGTTTGTTAAATTTTCGAATTCTGGAAGTGAGAGAGAGAGAGAGAGAGAGAGAGAGAGAGAGAGAGAGAGAGAGAGAGAGAGAGAGAGAGAGAGAGAGAGAGAGAGAGGGGGTAATGAGAGAGAGAGTGTGTGTATGTGTGTGTGTGTGGGGGGGGGGGGGGGTATGGGGGCAGTGGGATTGGGGGTGTGTGTATATATATTGTATGTCTATAATACTACATGATACCACGAAACAAGCCAGTCGCAGTGACCTATTTCTGTTACTCGAAATACTGATTGACCAAGATGTTATCAAGTCAGTATGGAAGATCACACACGATATATGTAAGTGATTGGACTTATTAAGGCCAAAGGTCACCATATAAACATATGTGACCTACTTCTTCAGAATTAGAGATCATGATGTATCCTTCTATACAACAATACTTTCCCTATGGATACCGTAAACACTTTTGTAAACTTCCGGTACACTATAGACATTGTTATAAACTTCCGGTACGCTATAGACATTGTTATAAACTTCCGGTACACTAAAGACATTGTTATAAACTTCCGGTACACTATAGACATTGTTATAAACTTCCGGTACACTAAAGACATTGTTATAAACTTCCGGTACACTATAGACATTGTTGCCAACTGACGGCACACTATTAAGATGGTTATCATGCCATATACCCGTTATCTTTGTTTTACACATTAAATAATCAGCAAACATGCCTGGCTATACTATTTGGAAATATGACAGCGAGATTTACTTAATCACATTTCGGGTATAGTTTAATCTGTACAGAATGTGGTGACAAGTACGTGTCATCAGTACCCGGAAAAAGGAATGATCCTGTTTGTCATACTTTCGTTTGTAAGTTCAGATAAGTCTAGTATTTTATCTATAAACAGACTGACCTATATATAACGTCACTGTGTTGTAGCAGATATATGAAAAACTTCAATGAATCACTATGGCACAAAGCAATGTAGGTCCTCCTATCTCAATGTAGGTCCAACTGTCTAATAGTAGGTGCCACTGCCTCAGTGTAGGTTCCACTGTCTCAATGTAGGTCCCATTGCTTCAATGTAGGTCCCACTGCTGCAATGTACTTTATTTATATCATATTCACATACATACAACAACACTACGTCAGAGTCACATACAACAACACACCATCACAGCCACATACAACAACATACCCTCACAGTCATATACAACAACACTCTCACAGTCACATACATAAAACAACACACCCTCACAGCCACATACATACACCTCACAGTCACATACCTACAACAACACACCCTCACAGTCACATACAACAACACTCTCACAGTCACACACATACAACAACACACAATCACAGTCACATACCTACAACACACCCTCACAGTCACATACAACAACACACTCTCACAGCAACATCCAACAACACACCCTCACAGTCACATACATACAACACAGCCTCACATCCACATACATACGACACACCCTCACAGTCACATACATAAAACACATTCTCACAGTCAAATACATACAACACACCCTCACAGTCACTTACATACATCTCACAGTCACATACCTACAACAACACACCCTCACAGTCACATACAACAACACTCTCACAGTCACATACATACAACAACACACCCTCACAGTCACATACCTACAACACACCCTCACAGTCACATACAACAACACACTCTCACAGCAACATCCAACAACACAGCCTCACAGTCACATACATACAACACAGCCTCACATTCACATACATACGACACACCCTCACAGTCACATACATAAAACACATTCTCACAGTCAAATACATACAACATACCCTCACAGTCACTTACATACACCACACCCCTACAGTCACAAACATACAATACACCCTCACAGTCACATACATACACCACACCCTTACAGTCACATACAAACACAACACCCTCACAGCCACATACATAAAACAACACACCCTCACAGTCACATACATACAACACACCCTCACAGTCACATAAATACACCACATCCTCACAGTCACATATATACACCACACCCTCACAGTCACATACATACAACACACCCTCACAGTCACTTACATACACAACACACCCTCACAGTCACATACATACAACACACCCACACAGTCACATACATACAACAACACATCCTCACAGTCACATACATACAACACACACTCACAGCCACATACATACGACACACCCTCACAGTCACATACATACACCACACCCTCACAGCCACATACATAAAACAACACACCCTCACAGTCACATACATACAACACACCCTCACAGTCTCATACATACACCACACCCTCACAGTCACATACATACACCACACCCTCACAGCCACATACATACAACACCCTCACAGTCACATACATACAACACACCCTCACAGCCACATACATACAACACACCCTCACAGTCACATACATACAACGACACACCCTCACAGCCACAAATATACAACAACACACCCTCACAGCCACCAACAAAAAACAACACACCCTCACAGTCACATACATACAACACACCCTCACAGTCACATACATACACCACACCCTCACAGTCACATATATACACCACACCCTCACAGTCACATACATACAACACACCCTCACAGTCACTTACATACAACACACCCTCACAGCCACATACATACAACACACCCTCACAGTCACATACATACAACGACACACCCTCACAGCCACAAATATACAAGAACACACCCTCACAGCCACAAACAAAAAACAACACACCCTCACAGTCACATACATACAACAACACCCTCACAGTCACTTACATACAACACACCCTCACAGCCACATACATACAACACACTCTCACAGTCACATACATACAACGACACACCCTCACAGCCACAAATATACAAGAACACACCCTCACAGCCACAAACAAAAAACAACACACCCTCACAGTCACTTACATACTCCACATCCCTACAGTCACATACATACAACACACCATCACAGCCACATACATAAAACAACACACCCTCACAGTCACATACATACAACACACCCTCACAGTCACATAAATACACCACATCCTCACAGTCACATACATACATCACACCCTCACAGTCACATATACACCACACCCTCACAGTCACATACATACAACACACCCTCACAGTCACTTACATACAACACACCCTCACAGCCATATACATACAACACACCATCACAGCCACATACATAAAACAACACACCCTCACAGTCACATACATACAACACACCCTCACAGTCACATAAATACACCACATCCTCACAGTCACATACATACACCACACCCTCACAGTCACATACATACACCACACCCTCACAGTCACATACATACAACACACCCTCACAGCCACATACATACAACACACCCTCACAGCCACATACATACAACGACACACCCTAACAGTCTCATACATACACCACACCCTCACAGCCACATACATACAACACACCCTCACAGTCACATACATACAACGACACACACTCACAGCCACATACATACAACGACACACCCTCACAGTCACATACATACACCACACCCTCACAGCCACATACATAAAACAACACACCCTCACAGTCACATACATACAACACACCCTCACAGTCTCATACATACAACACACCCTCACAGTCACATACATACACCACACCCTCATAGCCACATACATACACCACACCCTCACAGTCTCATACATACACCACACCCTCACAGCCACATACATTCAACATACCCTAAAAGTCTCATACATACACCACACCCTCACAGCCACATACATACAACACACCCTCACAGTCATATACATACAACAACACATCCTCACAGTCACATACATACAACAACACCCTCACAGTCACTTACATACAACACACCCTCACAGCCACATACATACAACACACTCTCACAGTCACATACATACAACGACACACCCTCACAGCCACAAATATACAAGAACACACCCTCACAGCCACAAACAAAAAACAACACACCCTCACAGTCACTTACATACTCCACATCCCTACAG